TAGTTCAGAGAACCAATAGCGGAAATTTTGAGTAGTTCAGAGAACCAATAGCGGAAATTTTGAGTAGTTCAGAGAACCAATAGCGGAAATTTTGAGTAGTTCGGAGAACCGGTAGTGGAAATTTTGAGTAGTTCAGAGAACCGGTAGTGGAAATTTTGAGTAGTTCAGAGAACCAATAGCAGAAATTTTGAGTAGTTCGGACAACCAATAGCGGAAATTTTGAGTAGTCTGGAGAACCGGCAAATAGCACCTCTGGCTGGCCCCAGAGCGTGGAGGGAATGGAGATTTTGCAGTATCCTTTCCCTGCCCACGCCCACCAAGCCCTGCCCACAGAACTGGTAGTAAAAAAAATTGAATTTCACCACTGGTATGAAGCCACAGGTGGTCCTGTTCCCAGGAGCCTTGGGTGGGGTCTTCTTCTATGATGGAGGCCAAGAGGATGTTTCCACCGAGAACGTGGTCCGAAATTTCAGGGATTGAGGACTTCATGGCCACCTGCTTTAATCTGAGAGATCTTGCGCCAATTTAGTAGGGTGGCGATAAGTAAGTTAAGAAGTGCGGGGAAGAAGAAGGCCGTCTATTTAGAAGACACGTTGGGGCCCAGCATTGAGGATGCACTAAAAGCTCTTGGGGGGGTTCCAGGGATGCGGCTAATCGTATTTGTATTTGTGTAGTATGTTCCCAGAGGGATTACGTTGGGAATTAGGTCAGGGACTGAGGAAGCTCCGTCATTCCAGAGAAACAGATAGTAATTAGAGGCTAAAGTTGAGATCTCGCCCTTGTGGGTGGGTGATGTTGATTGCAGAATTCTTCTCCTTATCAGCTGGAATTAGCACCGAGTAAACTTTTAACTCATCCAGGAGAAACTTGGGTCTGCATCTCCCCAATCTTTTGGACGGGGGGGGGGAGAAAACTCAGCGGTCACCAACTGGTGGGCCGCGAGAAAAATTTGGTGGTCCGCAGAAAAACTATTTGCCTTTTTTACATTGCACTAAATCAGTTGTCCTCAAACTGCGGCCCCTGGGACGGATACGTGCAATGAACGCTTGTGTTGCTGCGGAGAGTCTCCCCCTTTGGGGTCTTTTTGTTGGGGTCACAGGGGGGCAGAAATTCCCACTTGGGGTCTACTTCAGCCTCCTGGTGGGGGGCTTTGGGCGAAGGCTGGAGGGAAGAGCCGCTGGTGGNATGTCCATGGTCCTTGCGGTGCTTCTGCAGATGTACGTCCTCCCTCCCTCCATGCTCCGCTCAAGGGCTTCGTTGGGACCAGGGATCGAAAGACACTCCCAGCTTCACTTCCCCTAGTTCGCCTGCTGGGGGGGGCGGGGGGGGCTGTGCGTGCATCCAGAGGAAAACCTTTCCTGGTTTCCAACAACAACATCTCATCCCTTAACGGTGAAGGCCTCCAGGAACTAGAAAGTTTTGCCGGTTTGAGGAAGGGGGATTTCTGGAGGAGGGGGAGGATGTGAGCTGGCACCGGCCATGACTTTTCCATGAATCATGGAAGGCTGCTATCGGCAGACCGAAGGCAAAGTTTCCAGCAGTCTCATCTGCAAAAGAAGTCCGTGCTGGTAGGTTTCCAAGCGTGGCCGAGCTTCAGCCGCTTCAGTTTTTCCAGGAAGCGCCTGTCCACCTCCGGGGACATTCAAAGGCTGCTGTCCCCCTCCTTCTGACCTTCCAGCCAGGCCTTCCGCAACTCCACAATCTCCTGGCCATACCAGCCGTGCAGTTGGGAAAAACACACTGCGCTTAGAGACACGGCGCCATCCGAGCTCGGGCCGCCAGCCCCGCCGGAGCTGCTCGGCAAGGACCGTCTCCGAGGGGGCAACGGTGGCGGCTTGAGCCCCCCATCGTAGCTCTTGGCCCCGCTGCAAGGGTTTACCTCTCTGCAGGCAGGAGACAAGCTGGCCGAGGCTTCGGAGTTATTCCATAAGGCACAGCCGTTCTCTTTCCCGGGGATGCAAACGGGCAGGGAGGGCTTCTCCCGTGGCAGAGCAGCTAGTTCCAAATTGGGCGCCGTTCTGTTTTTCCGATACAGCAGCCGCCGTCTCGGGGCCGCTTGGGCTCCCGGGATCGCCGCCTGCATCTCCTCCAGCTGCTTCTCCAGCTCTCTCACCACCAGGCGCAGGTAGTCGAAGCTGGCGCGGGAGAGCGCCTTGACCCAGCGCTCCAGGGCGGCCTGGTTCTCGGCCGCCAACACGTAGGTGCGGGACTTGGGGCCGTCGAATCGGATGGCGAAGGCAAACTCCTCGCTGTCCTGGCATAACTCCACTCGGCAGCCCTCCAGAATGATGACGCCCACGGGCTCGCGGCTCTCCCGCTCCTCGAAGTAGAAGAGCATGTTCCCCCTCAGCACGAACCAGCGCCGGTGGTAGGCCGTGTTCCGCTCGCCCTTCTTGTGCAGGAAGCCGGCGTGGTCGGCCGGAGAGGCGCAGGTGGCGTAGAAGGAGAGGCTCCTTTCGTTCAGCTTCATGGTGGCCGTCCCTGGGAAGGAGAAGGGAAAGGGTGGTGGGTCCCGGCAGGCGGCCATCATCGACACCAAGGGCCACTTGGGGGTCTTACAGCCTCGAAATGACTGCATCGATAGCAGTGATTCTCCACCTTGGGTCAGTTGAAGGCATCTGGACTTCAATTCCCAGAATCCCCCAGCCAGCAAAGCTGGCTGGGGGATTCTGGGAGTTGAAGTCCAGCTATCTTAAAGCTTTTTTCCTTCCACTCCCAGATTCTCCTTCGGCAGTTTGTCGTCCGATAAAACCCCCAGTACCAAATTCAAGGAAGTTTACCTCACAGCCCCAGCACAGTCCTGGTTAAGGCGCTGGCCTAGAAACCGGGAAATGGTGAGTTCTAGTCCTGTCTTAGCCACGAAAGCTGGCTGGGTGTCTTTGGGACCGTCACTGGGAGACGGTGAATCCTAGTTTCACCTTAGGCTTGGTGTCTTTGGGACAGTCCCTGGGGGACTGTGAGTTCTAGTTCCACTTCAGGCATGAAAGCCACCCGGGTTACTTTGGGCCCGTCACTAGGAGACTGTGAAGTCTAGTTCCCCCTTACACATGAAAGCCGGCTAGGTGAGTTTGGGCCAATCACTGGGAGGCGGTGATTTCTAGTTCCACTTTAGGCATGAAAGCTGTCTGTGTGACTTTGGGCCTGTCCCTGGGAGACTGAATTCTACTTCCCCCTTAGGCGGGAGACCGTGAGTTCTAGTTCCCCCTTAGGCATGAAAGCTAGCTGGGTGACTGGGTCATCCCTCTCCCAACCCATCTTACAGGGCTATGGGGATAACAGGAAGAGGAAGGAGAATTACACACAGTACGTTCGCTCCTTCGAGTTCCTTAAAAGTAATAAAGGCAGGTAAATAAATCCGGGGGCCCGGGGCCATTTAAGGGTAACCTTATGACCAAGAGGGGGAAATACAGCTCCATCAAACCTCCCAAGCAACTAAAGTAGGGCCCTGGTCAGCTGGCGCAGTGGTTAGAGTGCAGTACTGCAGGCTACTTCAGCTGACTGCTAGTTCAGCAGTTCGGCAGTTCAAATCTCACCCGCTCAGGGTTGACTCAGCCTTCCATCCTTCCGAGATGGGTAAAATGAGGATCTGGATTGTTGTTGGGGGCGATATGCTGACTCTGTAAACCGCTTGGAGAGGGCTGAAAGCCCTATGAAGCGGCATATAAGTCTAACTGCTATTGCTATCTCTCTCTCTCTCTGTCTCTCTCTCTCTCTCTCTCTCTC